CCTTGTCACTGCCTTCTGGGCTTTCACGACACGGAAGACCTGTTCTTCTGCCTGCAACTCGTTGCGAAGTGAGGAGAACCTGCCAAGCTCCACCTCCACTCTACTCAGTTCCAATCTGAAGAGACAGGACACAGAAGGATGTAGATGAAGGCCAAGAAGGAATCCTAATCTGTGCTCTGGGTTTATTATAGATGAATTCCATTAATAGCAGCTAGTCTGAGACAGATGATATTTATATTTTAACTTAGGAGATAAGGCCTGTAAACTCAATGTAAACTCAATATTTTCTTTTACATTTTTATGTAAAACCAACGTGTGATGGCGTTTTGCAGCCGTTGGCTCCCAAGATATTACATTTCTGAATTTTCTACACTAATAATTGATTAAAGCTTGGCTTATCCTTGTCTCTTTCTTTTCTATTTTCACACTCACAGTTTGCTGGTTTCTTCCTAGTGTATTTTATAATAGTTGGCATCACATTTGCTTCATTACTGTCCCCACCTTCCTTGTTGTTTGCCTTTTCCTGCCTTGTGTAGCAGCCATCTTAGTGCAGAAGAGCTTGTAGAACATTCTTAGTTAAAGAATAAAAATAGAATATCTAATTGGAACCTTTTTATCCTTTGTTGCACCTTAAACCAAACCTAAAACCTTTGATGTCAGATTTACTTTACTGTAATTTGTACAATTTGTTGAAAATTGCCTCTGAATGGTTTGGTTCTGGTAGAAAGGCCATAGTTACATGTATCACTGTCACAGCTGTGGATAAAGGGTATTGTTGCCAGGGACAGTGCTAGTAACTTTTTTTCGTTACTAATACTTCATTATTTTTTTGTTTATTCCTGAGTCTACAGACTTCTGTCATCATTATAAAGAAGTCGTCACTTGTCTACGCAGAGAAAATGTTTGACAGATCATTGTAATGTCAGACTCACTCCAAATCCTGTAGCTCAGTGCTGACGTGTCCTTCCAGCTCTTCCTCACTCTGAAGCTTTTGACTCAGAAGCTTATGTTGGACTTGTAAGCGGAAAACTGCCACGCTGCAAAACCAAAAAAAAAAAAAATGCAGGGAATCAACCTCTCATTACTCTCTCTCTCTCTCTTTTTTTTATTCACTCACTTTTAAACTCCAGCTTTTAAATCTGCACACTTCAGCATTCACAGTAGCTCTTTGGGGTTAATTTGTCCTCTTTCTCAGGACTACCCTTCAGTCATGTTCAATTTTAGCTTTTATTTTTGAGCTATGTTCTACTTATTTCTGGGCCAGGATCGAGTCATCTTTGACAATCTCTAATTCTAAATTATCCTTGTTCACACCTAGTCGTTTCTCTTACCTCCTTACTTACTTAAAGTAAGTCTTTAGTTATACTTGTGTTTTTCTGTCATTGTAAATAACCTCATGCTGTTGTAGAGTAACTGTGAAGTAGTCCTCTTAATTTCGCCCTTGTTTTTCGTGTCATAAACTTTTTAGTGTAAACTTCAAGATTTAATTTCCGTCCAATTTCGAGCTAAAGTTGCTTTTTGTGGTTAAACTTAAACTACATCTTGGCAAACCTTGACTCAACTTTCAACACTTTGAAGGAATGAGTAGAGGTCTCACTCACTTTCCATCTCATTCAATTTTTTTTTATATTTATGGTTGTGATCCCATTCACACAAACCTAACAATTACTCCAATAGCTTCCAGAACTGTAAACAAAACTCATGTATATATCATTCAAACTTTTAATCTTTTTAAGCACCTACATGTGATACAAATGAATGAGTTTTACTCATGTCATTTTGTCATTTTGAGCTCACCTGTTGTCTGTAGCTTTCTGCTGCTTTATTTCTTTTTCCAAGTTTTCCCTCTGCTCCAGCAAACTTTTAACAGTCTGTTGACAAAGACTCAGGGCTTCTCTGAAAAAAAATCAAATATTAGTAAAAACATATTAGACAAACCACAAGTCATTGAGTTGATATGGAGAAAAAAAAAAGGATCAAAGTCGGTGTGATGGACCATTTACGAAGGCTCTTACTGTTCCATATGTTCAAAGAATAAATGCTAATGGTTTTCCTTGAGCCCTTGACGAAGAGATAGGGGCAATTTTGTCAGCTACAGCAATCTAATGAAGACATTAAATATCTACACACACTTAAACACACACACACCTCTACAGCTTCAAAATGTCCGGCTTCACAACACAACAATCTGTGTGTAAAATGTAAAAGCCAAAGTGCAGATCGGTTGAAAGACAGACACATTCAGGATCCATCAAAGTCATGTTTGATCAGAGAGCCGTGCTGTTTTACAATGACCTCTGAGATTTTGCACTAAAATGAAAATGAGGAGCCGTTTATTTTGCCAGAGACTACAGCACAGTTCAGTTCATCGGCTGCTTGATGGCTCGCAGTGCAGACACATAAAAAGAGAGAAGAACATTGAGGCAGAGAGGACATTATGGGAAATGTTCTCTTTTCAGCTCAAATGATTTCCTGCAAATTGCTGAATCAATTGTTGGAGAAATGATTGGTTCTATAAGAGGAGAAAAAGACCTGACAAGGAACTGAAAAGATAGGAAGAACATTATTATTTCTTGCCAATTCCACTGGCGTTATCTCCCTGTGATTATCCCAATGAGAAAGAAATGCAAAGTTTTTCCACCACGGGCACAGACTTGAGTGTATCTGGCAGATACCCTGGCTGAGGAAATCTGGTGTTTGGTAGATACAGACCTGGCTTGCAGCACGTCATCCTCCTTCTGTCGGTGAAATGCGTCCAGCTCATCCAGATTTCGCCTCAGCTTGAACATCCGTGCAGTCTCGGCACAACTCCTCTTCTTACCAGAATCGGCCACAAACGCAAGGTCACCATCGGCGTCATCCTCTCTTTGGACAAATGACGTTTAAAGAAATGACGCAAAATTTAAACAAAGTCACATGATGCGTTCATCATATATACCTAATATGTTGTTCACGGTTTTAAGAGCATTAATCTTCAGAGTAGAACGTTTATGTTAATTCAATATCACAAAGACAAATAAATGATAAAAACCCACTCTGACAACTCTTCCAACCAGTCCAAATCTGAAGAAAAGGAAGATTCTTGGACCGACCCTTGAAAGATAAATAAAAAATATTAAGAACAAAGATACACCTGTCTTGATAACAATTGCATTCTTTTGCATGTATTTCCCTGGTGTTTTTTTATTTTATTTTATACCTTTTGCATGTATTTCCCTGGTGTTTTTATATTTTATGTTTTGAATGCAACTGACTGTTAAGATGGAGGATCCAGGGGAAATGGGCTCATTATTGCTCTTGATTTTTATTATTACTCTATTTTTTCTCTCTAAGTACATGTTGTAATAAAATCTTTGTTCTATCTTTGCTCCATACAAATCACATGGAAACAAAGACAGAAAAAGTTCATTTAAGAACTTTTAATGTTTTCCTCCAACGAACGTCTTACCATCTGAATGAAGCTCAGAGCTGAGGGGGACATCCAGCTGTCCACAGCTGTCCAACACCACAGCACACGGCCCGTCACATTCTTCCATTTTTATCTATATTTGAATAAACTAATGTTAAAAACGTGTGTTTCAGCGAACTGCACTAAATACTTACGTTACATACACTGTTTTAAGTGTAACTACGTTGAAAAGGAGAAGAGAAATAGGAGAATATAGAAGCTTCATATTAAATATCGTCAGCTCATAGTCTGGAGTTTGACGTGTGGTTGAACTAGCCGCTACATGGGTGTTAGCCGAACACGGAGAGAACAAACAAAAATAATAATAACGCACCTTAAGCGCTACATCTAAGCTGTTGTAAATATAATACAAAGTTTTTACCTTTAAGAACTTCAATTAAGACTGGGGGAAATACCTGCGTATACCTCTCCCTAACGCACGTCTGACTTGTCCGCCATATTTGTTAGTATTTCCCTGGAGACGAAACGCCTGACATGACAACAGTTGTCACGGAAGCAAGGGTCCAACAGCTCTGCTATTTATCCACACACAAAAAGCCCTCTACAGTTGAAATAAATCTAATAACCTCCGACAAAAAATTATAAAAAACAATTACAACTAAATAATTACATCCTGTTATTTGCCCATAACATCTATAAAGCTGAACTTAAGGGACTGACCAGCTGTCAAATAAATTAAATTAAATTAATTCTAATTGGTGAGCAAATTTGACCAAATTTAAATTAAATGCATTTATTTTTCTTTTTTTAATGTAGTATTAATATTAATGAAACACTGACAGCAGAAAAATCCTAAACTGCTTCAAAGTGAATGATTAATCTGTAAGTCGAGCAAAATCTTTTGTCAAACATGCAGGCAGTTCAGTCATATCTGATTTACAGTAGGGAAGGACTATTTCCAGTTGATCACTGATGCTTTTGCACAATGGAGTATATTTTCTTCTTGGTAGAACACTTCT